TTTTTTTTTTTTGAGAATTTTTGCTATAGGGCGCATGCACTCACCAGACAGACAAAGACAGAGAGACACAAAGCGAGAAATCATCCCCTAAGGGGGATGGCCATGCTGCAATCCCTTCTCCTCCATTTTCTTCTCAGGATCTTGGGCATGCACGCACACGTGCTCAATGTGAGTTTTAAACAAAACACTGGGTCCGGGACGTGAACCGCGGTCGACTACATGGGAGTCCAGCGACATAGCCATTACACTAACTGCTGGTCCCCTTATTAAACTTTTAAAAAATAATTATATATTTAATTTTATTCACTTATTATCATCATTATTATTTTTTTAACTTGACCAGAGAGAGACAGAGAGAGAGAGAGAGAGAGAGGGAAAGTGAGAAAGCAGGCCGCCAAGTCCAGGACTTGAACCATGGTCGGCCATTTGGGAGTCCAGCGCCTTAACCACCATGCTAACTGCCGGCCCATTCTTAAACTTCAACAGCGAGATGAAGTTGAATGTTTTTGCTTAGTACCTAAGGAGGGAAGGAACAAAAGATTATCCCCTGTGTCATCTTTTTCTTTTTTATATCAAGGTGTACTACAAGGAGGAAACTTTGATCTCAGCATAAGCGAAATAGCTGAAGGGTCAAAACATGGTTTGACCTTTAGAGGATTTCCTTATGTAGAGTTGAAGAAGATAACATAATCATATACTATAGTCTTTTTTTTTTTTTGGAGAGATTTTCACTGTAGGGCACATGCACTCGCCAGACAGACATAGAGAGACATAGAGACAGAAAGCGAGAAATCACCCCCCAGGGGGAATGGTCACGCTGCAATCCCTTCTCCTCCATTCTCCTCTCGGGATCTTGGGCACGCATGCACACGCGCCCGGCGTGAGTTCTAAGCCACCGGGTCCGGGACACGAACCGCGGTCGACTACGTGGGAGTCCAGCGACATAGCCATTATGCTAACTGCTGGTTCCCTATACTATAGTCTTAAACAAAAATTAGACTTAATTTACTTACCCTCACCTAGTATGGAATCTGGTTGAACAGTAATCTTGAGTATGGCATTAATCACTGAACAGATTCTTTTCTTTTAATCTATTTTGTTTTTTATTGATAAGCAAAATAATTAAAGACAAAAACACAACAACCTTAGAGTTGGAACAGCAGTAAGTGAAAAATACGGACCGCGTCAGGAATTTGCGTGTCATCCTTCCACAGGGGCCAGGCTAATCTCTGTGTCATTTCAGCGTTAGTATCTGTGCAGCTGAAGCCAGCACGTGAATGGCTGCTTTTCATCACAGCTCTGTTCTTGCTCTCCACTGGCGTGTGGCCCCTGCAGTAGTGGGGTGTGCTTTGTGGCTGCGTCCGAAACCAGAGTTTGATGACGCCTGGGGTAAAATGGGTGCATGCGTAGAGTGGGAGAAGATACATGGAGTGAGAGTGCATGGGTGAAACTCAGGTAACCCGAGACTGGGGAGGAGCTGGAGCAGAAGGGCAAGGAAATCAAATCAGCCAGTATCAAGGGGGCAGAGGTGCTGTGGTTAAGACGCTGGACTCCCACATGGCCGACCACGGTTCAAGTCCTAGACCTAGCAGCTTGCTCTCTTACTTTCCCTCTCTCTCTGTATCTCTGTCTGGTGAGCATATGTGCCTATAGCAAACTAAAATAATAAGTTAAATAATTCTAAAAAAAAAATAAGAGGCCTTTCATTCTGTGTGGTTAAGGCAGTAGCTGCTGCATGTGCCAGTACCGAGGACGTTTTCCAATATGTGTAAGCATTAGAACCAGTCAGTACTTCCAGTCAAGGGGAAAACAAGTCTGCTTGCCACAGAAATAAGGAACAGGTATATTATAAAGTAGTTGTTAGGTCGACTTCGTTTTATTTACCGTGATCAGTTACCGTTTTACATGTGTGCTCAGTCTTTATAGCGTGTTGGTTATATGTAGCTCGGCTGCCAGCCCATCATTTAAAACATTATAGAGACCATCGATGCGAGGTATTAATATATTTAAGTCTGACTTCACGGGAGGGGTATGTTCCCAAAACTTATTTCCAAGTTTGGACTTCAGAGTGTGTCGTCTACTACTACTACCCAATTGTTTTCTAATGTTAGTGTCCTAAGTTAGCTCCCCACAGCCAGAATGGGTTAGTTATATGTAAATCAAATTTACTATTAGATGGAGTTTTGGAACTTGGTCATTGGGAAACTATTTGAAGGAATGGAGGAGTCTTAAGGAGAAGAAAGTATTTCCCTTCCCATTCCTTAAGTAAAAATTACTTACTTAAGATCAGTTAGATCGGAACCAGCAGTTAGCGTAATGGCTATGTCGTTGGACTCCCATGTAGTTGACTGCGGTTCAAGTCCTGGACCCGGTGGCTTAAACTCACACTGGGCATGTGTGTGTGTGTGCCCAAGATCCCGAGAGGAGAATGGAGGAGAGGGGATTGTGGTGTGGCCATCCCCCCTGGGGGGGTGAGTTCTTGCTTTCTGTCTCTTTGTCTCTCTCTGTCTTTCTGGCGAGCACATGTGCCCTATAGCAAAAACCTCCCCTCCCCCCCAAAAAAAATCAGTTAGATCATTATCTCACCGAGAAGGTTTTTGGCTGTCACTGTGCAATGGGTGTGACCAGGTTTTGATGAGCAGGAGGCCAGGCATGTTGGTGTCCTGCACTATGTGAAATAGTCTCCCATAAAGAAGCACTGTGCCTTGTCTTTTTGACTTTTAAATATTGTTAGATGTTTACCTAGGCAGATTGTTTTGTTTGGATTTTATGGGCCCAGATCTGTTTTATATAAAAAAGCAAAGTATCACACAACCTTAAAGTACAAAGAATGTTCCAGGACTACAACTTCCATGGTGGAAGATTGTTTTGAGCTTTACCAAGAGTTGGCCACCATTTTGGAAAATGCTGTCATTCTTGGCTTTGCCAGTCGTGCTATTGGCGTTACCAATACGATAAACCTGTGTATGTGCACGTTTGTAGCTGACCTAATCCACACATGGGTGCAAGCATCCGACAGCTCTGTCTTTTAGTGCACTGGTGTTGGAGCATTTATAGTTAGAATACAAATGTTTTCTTTTCTTTTTTTTTTTTTTGAGAGGTTTTGACCAGAGAGGGACAGAGAGAAAGAGAGAGAGAGAGACAGAGAGACAGAGAGAGACAGAGAGACAGAGAGAGAAAGCAGTAGTGAAAACATGTTTGTCTTTTTGTTTATTTTTAAAGAATTATTTATTTAATTTTACTTATCATTATTATTGTTTTCAGTTTGCTACAGGGCACGTGCGCTCACCAGAAAGAGACAGAGAGACGGAGAGAGAGAGAGAGGGAAAGTGAGAAAGCAAGCCACCAGGTCTGGGACTCAAACCGCCGTCGGCCATATGGGAGTCCGGCACCCTAACCACCACACCACCTGCTGGCCCCTGTATGTCCTTTTTCTTAGACAAATCTATTTTTGTCTTTCACTTGATCTTAGACAAAAAGCTGAGAAGCAGTTGTTCCTCTCTTTTCTTCATTCATTTATTCATTCATCTTTGTGTTTTCAACTGGGGGGAAAGAAGGGGGACACATTTCATTTGAGGTCGATGGGAAGTTAGAGTCCTGGCAGTGTATCGTAGCACGTCCTTTTGCTGAGCCTCAGCAGCGCCTCTTACCCATTCTCTTTCTTTCAGGCAGTTGGCTGTGGCTCCTTAGCCCAGGTGACACCAGGCAGGTCGAGCTGCATGAGCAATGGGGCTGAGTTGAGAAGCAGCAGGGCATGTCCAACGCTGCGTACGGTTCTGTCACTAGAATGTGGGCTTGCAGGCTGAAACATGGCTAGGAAGGGTACTGGGAGGGCAGAGAGCCTCGATCCCAGAGGTCTGTGCTGTGCCGGGGGTCTGGTTAGAACTCGGGTCTCCGTTGCCGTAGTTCTCGTTGCCTTTGCCTTTGCCTTTGCCCTGAGACTGTCGGAGCTTCTCCAAACTCCTCCTAACCTTGACTGTGAAAAGTCAAAAAGAGGGTGTGGCGTTACCAAGTGTGAGTTCTTGAGATAGACTGCCGGCTATTGTGAACTCGCTCTGTGACCCTAGGAAGGTGTATGAGCTTTCTATGCCTCTGTGTCTCCTTCTTAATACCAGTCTTTATATCATGGGGCCATTGATAAGAATAAATTAATTAAAATGTATACAGTGCTTAAAGCCTAGAATCAAGTAAGCATTATTATTTTTTAAAGAATTATTTTATCTAACTGTATTTATTTATTTATTTATTTATTTTAATTTGTCCAAATGGTGCTTGTTTCTTTCCCTCATGAAAGAAAGAAATTAAAAAACGAACAACAAAAAAACCCCCAATTCTCCTGAGCTACTGATTTTCACAGCTTCTCAATCTACATGTACTCTGAAATCTCCCACTTCCCGCCAAATGAGAAAGCAAGCTGCCAGGTCCAGGACTTGAACCGCGGTCAGCCAGGGAGTCCAACACCCTTCACCACCACGCCAAAGTAAGCAATTATTAAATATTAGCTATTGGGTTGGCCCATGACCTAATAGTTCGGGCAACTGGATCCTACAGGGCTGAGTGGTTCGAATCTTGGACCTGGCAGCATGAGGGACATGCTGGGTGCATGTGCATGTACGTCCAGGATCCTGGAAAGGAGGAGGAGGCACTGGGGCATGGCCATGTACCAGGGGAGGTGCTTTCTCTCTCTCTAGTGAGTACATGCACCCTCTGTAAAAGAAAAAAAAATAGTTAGCTATTGTTATTAATTCTTTTAAAAAATGAGATGGAGAGAGCATATATACATTTGTGAAGAAGAGAGAGAGAGATTTTCTTTCTTCAAAAGAGATTTTTGCTATAGGGCATGTGTGCCTGCCAGAGAAACAGAAAGTGAGAACTCATCCCGCAGAGGGGATGGCCACACCACAATCCCTTCTCCATTCTTCTTTTGTAATTTTGGGCACACACCTACACATGTCCAGTGGGAGTCTGGGACTCGATCCATAGTCCCCTGTGTAGGAGTCTAGCGACGTAACCAGTATGCCATCTGCTGGTCCCAAGATAGATATTCTCGACAGGGTCTATGCACCCCAAGTCCTCCTGCCCCAGCCTCCAGTTAGCCAGGAATACAGGCCTACACCAGCACAGCTGGTGTGTTGGGGTCAGACCAGGAGCCAGTCCTGGGTCTCTGTGCAGCCCCAGCGAGTGCAGAGTGGCACCCTTCTGTTTGTGCCCCCATGGCCAAGCCTGTTCACTATTATTTAAAATAGTTTTGGGCTTTGCCGTGTCTGCATGGGCAGTCTGGGCATGCTGGTTAGAGATCAGGTTGGTAGGCTCCTGACTGGGCCAGGTCTTCCTCAACATGATGGGTGTGTGCTTCCCATGATCCTGCCTGGGGAAGGATCGTCATGTGGAGACCCTGCCACAGGTGTCTCTGTCTCTGTCTCATATGAAGGAAATAGGTGAATAAACTTTGGAGAACAGAGATTTTTGTTCTCAGAAAAGTATCATTCTTGGGACCAGCAGTTAGCGTAATGGCTATGTTGCTGAGCTCCCACGTAGTTGACCGTGGTTCGCGTCCCGGACCCAGTGACTTAACTCAAGCCAGGCGCGTGTGTGTGCGTGCCCAAGATCCCGAGAGGAGAATGGAGGAGAAGGGATTGCAGCGTGGCCATCCCCCCTGGGGGGTGATTTCTCACTTTCTGTCTCGGTCGGGAAAGCACACGCCCCCTATAGCAAAAACCTCTCAAAAAAAAAAAAAAGTATTCTTTTTCATTTTTCCTAGATGTTAGTTTTATTATAAAAACTAGATAGAGCTTTTAAGCATGTACTAATTTCCCTCTTTCTGTCTCTCCTTTTAAAATACTTTGCACTTTTTTTTTTTTTTTTTTTTTAATTATCAGAGGGTGTTTGCACTCACCAGAGCGAATGCAGAGGGGAACATCCCATAATGATGTGTGGTCACACTGCAGTCCAGTCCCTTCTGTTTCTCCATTCTGTTGCACGTAAAGCTGGCATGTTTTTCAAGCCACTAGAGCTGAGATGTGAGCGGCGTTTGGCCGTTTGCGATCCGGCTCCCGTAACCGCTAAGCTCGGGATTGTAATGCACTTGTTTTTAGTTGCCAGGAGGCACGCATGCTCGTCAGTAAGAGAGAAAGAGGAGAGGAGATAGAGGGGGAGAGAGAGAGATGGAAAGAGGAGACGTGCTTTCAAGCTCCTGGGGCAAGGAATTGAACTACAGTCTGCCATGTGAGATCTGGCTTCCTTAGACACCACGCTGTGGGGCCAGCCCTGCAC